TCAGTCAATCCATAATCCTCAACAATTCAATTCAAGTAATCAATTTAATTCAATTAACCAATTTAGCCAAATTATAGCATAAACATATATAACGATCCAAACCATTAAATCTATTCTAAACGCTATTAACTTCATAGTACGGACCTGGATTACGCAGAAATCGAATCGATAGCTCGAACGGAAGACAAATCAACGAAATACAACGAACAACGGGTCAAATTGAGTCAAAACACGAAATCGACCAATCAATTCGGCGTGGAGATTAATCTGCCGGCGATATCAACCCGGGCAGCGGCTGGATGCGGCGACGGTGACGGACGCCGGCGACAGTGGCGGAGCGGCAACTCGACGGCGTACAGTGGCGGCGCTGCAACTCGACGGCGATGAGCAGCGACTGGCGGCGCTGCAACTCGACGGCGAGGGAAGACGCTGGTAGTGGAGGCGACGTCCAGCGTTCGGCGTGGCGGTGCTGCAACTCGACGGCAATGAGCAGCGACTGGCGGCGCTGCAACTCGACGGCGAGGGAAGACGCCGGTAGTGGAGGCGACGTCCAGCGTTCGGCGTGGCGGCGCTGCAACCCGACGGCGGTGGACGACCGACGCTGGCAGTGCAGGCGACGAACGGCAACACGACGAGGTGAACCGTCGTCGGCGGCGCTGATGCTGACGGCGGACCTCTGGCGAAGGAGAAGCAGCGGTGATTGGCTGGGGAAGGGCGACCAGCGATGAACGGCGACTGGCTCGGGTGGCGATCGGAAATGAAGAAGAAGAAAGTGACGATGTGCGGTTCTCATATCCAAACGGAAGAAGATAGGTTTAGGTTTTATTTAATGATCCCATTCCTAAAAGGATTGGGCTTCGGACCCAAAATACCTTATTAAATGGTCATAACATGAGCTCCAAAACTCCGATTCGCGAGCCGTTTGAACCGACACGATCACAAAAAATATTTCCTACGAGATGACCTAAAAGTTGGGCTTAGAATCCAAATTATAGTTTTAACCCCTTTTTGGGCCCAATTCGTAATCAATTGCTCTAACAATTTAATTAATTCTTTTGGGCCAGATTTTGGGGCGTTACAT